TGGTGTGGTGTGGTGTGGTGTGGTGTGGTGTGGTGTGGTGTGGTGTGGTGTGGTGTGAGGATGTGTGGTGTGAGGAGGTGTGGTGTGAGGAGGTATGGTGTGAGGAGGTGTGGTGTGAGGGGTCAAGTGAAGTGGTGGAAGGTGATGTGGTGTAGTGCCCCTTTCCCATGACCCCAATAGCCCCAAATCTCTCTCTCTCTCTCTCTCTCTTTCTCTCTCTCTCTCTCTCTCTCACTCTCTCTCTATCTATCTATCTCTCTCTTTCTCTTTCTCTCTCTCTCTCACACACACACACACACACACACACACACAAATACACACACACACACACACACACACTCACAGAGAGGCAGAGACAGAGACAGAGACACAGAGAAAGAGAAAGAGAAGAGAGAGAGAGAGAGAGAGAGAGAGAGAGAGAGAGAGAGAGAGAGAGAGAGAGAGAGAGAGAGAGAGAGAGAGAGAGAGAGTTATACTTTTCCATATCTTCCAGAAGTTTGTCTCCTTCCTCCTTTTCCGTGCAGATCTCTCTTAGCTTCCTCTGAATTGTTTGGAGCTCCTCGCTCATCTGACAAAACTGACAAAAAAACGGGTACAACAAGACGTGAGCATCTCGAAAGGTGTGCTTTGATGAAATAAGATGGCAATAAAGATAAGGTAAAGAAGAAGAAGAAGAAGAAGAAGAAAAAGAAGAAGAAGCGGTGGAATAGGACGTGGAATAGGAGGTGGAGGTGGAGGAGGAAGATGAGACGGGAGAGGATAAGAAAAAAGTGATATTTCGAGCTTAATTATTATTATTGTTGTTATTATCATTATTATCATTATTATTATCATCATTATCATTCTTGTTGTAATTGTAATTGTAATGGTAACTAGTAGTAGTAGTAGTAGTAGTAGTAGTAGTAGTAGTAGTAGTAGTAGTAGTAGTAGTAGTAGTAGTAGTAGTAGTAGTAGTAGTAGCAGTAGCAGTAGCAGTAGCAGTAGCAGCAGTAGTAGTAGTAGTAGTAGTAGTAGTAGTAGTAGTAGTAGTAGTAGTAGTAGTAGTAGTAGTAGTAGTAGTAGTAGTAGTAGTAGTATCTTCACCATTATTATTATTATATTATTATTATTATTATTATTATTATTATTATTATTATTATTATTATTATTATTATTATTATTATTATTATTATTATTATTATTATTATAGTATCTCTTTGTTCTTTGTTCTTTTTTATTCTTCTTGATTCCCTCAAATTAAAGAGACTAAGTGGAGAGGGGAGGGTGAACCAAGCCAGAGTGTTATGTGGATGGTTGATCCTGTTTTTTTCCATTTGGAATTTTGCTTTGTTTCGTTTGGGGGGGGGGGGATTTTCCCCTGACATTAATGACAACTGCGGCATCCATAAGATTCCTGTTAACTTAATATCATCATTAAGCGTTTTGTCAAGAGTAGTTATAGGTAGATATGATGCCCCATCGCTCTCTTTCATTCGAGAGAGTTCGAATTTAAAAAATTGTTGTCCATTGTGTTGTTAGTTGCCCATGCGTTCAACAAACTATTTATGAATTGTGAGCAATGTTGTCCTCGGCTTTTCTTTCCTTCAATTTTTTCCTCCATGCTGAATTGATCGAAACAACTCTTTTCTGTATACAGGTACAATCGTTTGTCACCTCCTAATTGTCTGGATGAGTGATTTTTTCATGTTTGCCATTTCCAACACTTTTTGGGTTTCCTTCGCTTGTATCCAAGATAGTTTCAGCATTCTCTTTATGAGTCACTATTCCTTTGCTTCGAAGTTTCTGTAAATATTAACTAAATATACAGTGGTAATTCTGCGGTATGCGCACAACGAAAGAGTCGGAATGGTTCTTGGCCGTAGAGCTTGGAATTCTGACACATTGATCTTACCGTAAAAGTACTGCTGCACGAAACAAATAAAAGCTTTTGCACCGTGTATCGAAACCTTTCTCAACTGTACACCTTGATAAAACGTTGTTTAAATTTCCAACATGTCCTTGTATAGCGTGGGCTGAGGTTACATGCATAAGAAAGACTGTCTCAAGAGATTGCTTAAAAAAAGGGATGCGGGGGGGTGGGGGCTTTCGGACAGTGTTGTTACTACCTAGATCCTTGGACAGGACAGTCTGCGCCCAAAGATATGTATATATTATGAAA